GTCGCCTGCCTCATCACCCGCATTGTCTAGTCGTATAGAGTATTTTGTGCTTTGTATTTGTTGCTCACCGGCTGTCGATTGTATGTCGTTCCGCAATAAAAGGGTCTCGACACACTACACCAGACAATTTGTAAACTCAACCTCGGCAACTTTAAAATATACCAACCCCCCCCCCCACATCCCACAATTTGAATGTTGAATTTGCATGCAAAATTTGGCTGAATTCCCGGTCGCACGGACGGACGGACATTAGAAATTTACCAGGGTTGAAAAGCCGCTTCGCGATTTTGACTCCCATTTTATCCTAAACCTTTGCATAATTACCGTGCATTCTGATGACAAAAATGAAAAACAACCTCTTCTGACCGTTTATATAGTCGAATCCCCACTTCCGGTCTATGCTGATTTTTCTAACAAAGAAGTTTTCACAAAAACTTAAATTTAATGTCGAAAATAGGTGATTTTGCAAAATTTTACAGGGTGTCCCAAAAAAAACGAACCATCTGGAATTTCGCCGTGTTACATGCGATCGGCCCAAAATTTGGACCAGAGGTGTATCAGACCCTAAATAACAACAATCCTGACTTATAGCCCCGTAGCTATCGTCGTTCTCGAGTTATAACGAAAATACTGTTTTTCACGCAATTTTTAACAGTTTTTTCGGCTATCTTTTTGGACTTTGCATCGATTTGCATCGACTTCCGGCCGCGAATCCCTAATTTCGCTTAAGAACCTGGGTAATTTTGCGTTGTAAAAATCGCTTAAATCGAAGCTTATTCAATTAATTTTACTCTGGAAAAAATTTCTTAAGGTAAAGAAGGCCTACCGGATCAGTTTCACTTAATGTCTAGGGGGTCTAATCCCACGAAAACCCTGTGAAAAATGGAAAATCCAGTTTGTTTTTGGCATAACTCGAGAACGACTGTAGTTACGGGGCTAAAAGTCAGGATTGTTGTTATTTAGGGTCTGATACACCTCTGGTCCAAATTTGGGACCGATTGGATGTAACACGGCGAAATGCCAGATGGTTCGTTTTTTTTGGGACACCCTGTATATATGTGCAGTCATCTCAAGACAATTGCGCACCTAATCCCGTCTCATACGTACCTTAAAATCCTTCCCTATCGAGATATCCCCGACAGACAGACGGAAGCGGATGAAAGTGGTACACACACACACAAACACTATTTTTTTATTATATAGTAGGGTATAGGTATATATATTTTATATATATATATATATATTATATATATATTATATATTATATATATATCCTATCCTATAAGCGAGAAAAGTATGTCTGTTTTCTGTAATGTCGATTTCTCGGCCGTCAGGCCGAATTTCGCGCTGATTTTTGGCATGGAGGCGGAAAAATGCATTTGCCAGACACGCATTTTTTTTGTTTTGCGAAATTCCTTCATTTAGCGATTTTACAAGCAAAATAGTAAAATCCCTAACAAAATGGGCGACCGGCCGTGGTGTTCGGGGCATAACTCCATTCCGTTTGGAATTTCGGGCTGTAATTTGGACAACTTATGTATTCGAATTTGGGACCGATTGGATGTAACACGGCGAAATGCCAGATGGTTCGTTTTTTTTGGGACACCCTGTATATATGTGCAGTCATCTCAAGACAATTGCGCACCTAATCCCGTCTCATACGTACCTTAAAATCCTTCCCCTATCGAGATATCCCCCGGACAGACAGACGGAAGCGGATGAAAAGTGGTACACACACACACAAACACTATTTTTTTATTATATAGTAGGGTATAGGTATATATATATATATATATATATATATATATATATATATATATATATATATATTATATATATATTATATATTATATATATATCCTATCCTATAAGCGAGAAAAGTATGTCTGTTTTCTGTAATGTCGATTTCTCGGCCGTCAGGCCGAATTTCGCGCTGATTTTTGGCATGGAGGCGGAAAAATGCATTTGCCAGACACGCATTTTTTTGTTTTGCGAAATTCCTTCATTTAGCGATTTTACAAGCAAAATAGTAAAAATCCTTAACAAAATGGGCGACCGGCCGTGGTGTTCGGGGCATAACTCCATTCCCGTTTGGAATTTCGGGCTGTAATTTGGACAACTTATGTATTCGATAGTGGGGATCACGCGCATCTTATTATTTTTACAAATTTTCGGCGCATTCAGACTCAAAAAGAGAATTTTCTAAAGTTATAAGAAGTCCACTCTCCCGGGATGAGGCGCGCCCCAGGACAGAAGAGGCCTTTCCCGCTGTCAACCACCGCGTCCCCTTGGTGTATTGGATTGGCGCCCCTCTAACAAACAGTTGGTCAGGGTTCGAATCCGCAGGGGAATTTAACCTTTTGCTTTTTGGTAGTTCAATAACAAAACATATTTCTAGGCCTTCGGTGTGCGAGTTTTAGGACCGGGCCCTGCCTCTAGCGCCGGAGGCCAAAGAAAAGGTAGTTGGCCCAGGCTCTGGCGCCGCAGGCCAACGATGGGTCCTTTAACCGGGCTCTCGCGCCGCAGGCCCAATCCTGGAGAAAACCCAGTAGCTAGCGCCGCAGGCTCAAAGATTCTTGCCCAGCGCTGGCTCTGGCGCCGCAGGCTTCGATAAAAGGAAAGGGAATTCATGATTCCTAGACGGGGTCCAGTGGAAAAGGGCCGCGAAGCGGTCTTTTTCCACTGGTATATATATATATATATATATATATATATATATTTATTATATAGTAGGGTTTGGTAAGCGGCTCGTCGATAATCACCACTTTTCTCCCGACATCTTACCATCATTAAATTACATTCATTGAACCGAAACAGTGTTTGTTGTGCTCATTCGGAAGGCGGGAGCAAAAACTGACTGCAGAGTGGAGGGAATCAGCGCAAAAAGCGGGCTGATGAACTGTCTTTCGATGCAGAGTCACACTTCCACTGCGCAACCTTTTTTGGTCAGTTCGATCTGAGGATGGATCCCGAAAATGACTAGCGTAAGGGTTTTGGGCTCTCGGTGTGGCACTTCTAGAAATTCCGATTCGGGCTAAAACAGTAAAAAAGTAACTCATTAGCGGCGGCACAAGGACGATATTTCTTCTACTGGGTGTCCCAGAAAAAGCAACCCCCCCCCCTAGCGGTCCAGAGGAAACTCAGATTAGGATGACTTTTATATCATTCGCTTTGTTTTCTAAGATTTTTCCTCATGGTTCCGATATTCAACACTTCTCTAAAAAAAGAGGTAGCTTTTAATAGGAATTTCGCAATTACATGCAGATCCGCCTTCAGGGTTTTTGAAGGTCAAATTCGCTAATAAAAATACATAATAAGATCAATGAATCCTCTTTGTTTTCTCGTCTTTGCGAGCTTTCGATAGATATCCTAAATGGTGAAAATCGGGCACGTCTGCGAGCGGCTCGAGGGGCGCTTTTTTTTGGGACACCCTGTAGACACGATCAGGCCGTTAGGAAAGGCGACCCCGGTGATTGAAATTTTCTAAAAAAATGTCTGATAACACATTTCCGGCGGCGGCGCTCTAAATTACACCACGTTCCAAATTTTTGTGCGTGCGGCGCTGTTAGTTAAGTCATTTCTACTCTTTCGACTGCGGCGCCCGTTTTGAAAGCGATGCGAAGGGCGAAGATCGCCAAAGATTTTTAGAGCGCCCCTCTGAAAGTGCCCCCGGTAGTGGCGCCTCCAGCTCTGATGACTGCGGGAAGTCCTTCTCTTGTCGGGGGCATAGCAGATCATTGGCGCGCGGCGAAAGTCTGCTGGCCCCTTTACATTCCTTTACATTTAAATTCCTTGGAGGTCAAAATTGGTGCGTTGCGAGAAAGCGTAAAATATGTGAGTAAAATTCAAAAGTTCTCGAGCCGAAAACGACTTGTTGAGTGCGCAGCGATTACATGTCGTAAGGCCTTATAAGGCACGCAACCTTTCGATCTCGGTGATCCTCAAAGCAATTTTCATAATTAAAACGTCTAGAATGCTCAAAATCCGGTGAGGATCGCATCTGGCAGTTTACCAGGAATCAACGCAGGGGCCTCCGGCCTCTAGTCACACGCTTCAGCCGCCATCACCACAGAGTTCTACCCATCTCGTAAGGAATTAAAATCCAAAAATACCGCCACAACAATCCGCAATTTAGCGGCCAAGCGCCGAATACTCCTATCGACACCAAAAATGCATGCTCTTCTTTCACTTCAAAGGACTTTTCAAATGCTGTATGTTGCGGTGCATACAGTAGCGGGTCAAAAGATGTCCCCTCGGCAGATCGCTTGGTGCTCGTAAACTACAGACCCAAATTTTATGAAACGTCGTGTCTAGCTCAATTCGGCTGCGCAGAATCCGATGGCAACATTGAAACCTCTTGAAAATTTGATTTTAATGGTCAAACTTCGATTTCAAAAAAATCGTGAAAGGCAACTTTTTCATGGGGGATTTTCGGGTTTGAAAAATGTGTCCATCGTGTTCGCAAGGGTCGAAAACCCCTCGTTCGTTTATTTACGACACTTTTTCTGCCGGGGCCTGACCATGCTGGATCGGCCGAAAGTTGCTGTCGCACGCACCAAAAATCCCTTGGATAGGCTTACGGGGCCAAGAAAGCGCCCTCAGGCGACAACTTCCGCCTCATAGTAGCGAGCCTCAAAGAGATAAATGTTTTGAAACATGTTTGAGATGGGTTTCGACCCATGAACACGATGGACAGCATTTTGAAAAAACCCGAAAATCCTCAGGGAAAAGTTCATTTTACCGATTTTTTTAAAAATTAAAATTTGATCACTAAAACCAAATTTTCAGCCGATTTCAAGTTCACATTCGGATTCTCCGTATCAAAATCGACCTCGTGGCAAAGTTTCATAAAATTTGGGCATGTGGTTTAAGAGCACCAAAGGATCTCCCGAGGAGACATCTTATTGACCGCTACTGTATATAGCGAAGACGTGTCTGACGTGCTGTGACCCCCACGATGGCGTTTCGCCGATTTATTCACACCAACACAAATCAATTCAGAAGAAAGCTGGCATATTGGCGACGAGGAAGGCGATGACGGGCAACATGGCGGAGATGGACGAGCCAGTCGACTTCTTGGCGTCCTTGTCGTCCTTGGCGTCCTCGGCCTTCATATCGACGGCAATCTCCTTCAGCTCGTCAACCGACAGCTTGTTGCAGCGATCACCCTCGCAGGCTTGAGCCCAGGCGGCTAAAACGAGCTAGTTTGGTTCTGGACTGTTAGCGGGGGGGGGGTGGGTCGAGCAGGGTGACCTGTCCCTAACTGTTGATGTTATACTAATAGTGTTTTTCGTAGTTTTTATTGTAGTAGTTATCGCTATAAAGTTATTAAAAACCAGCGGGGGAGGAGCCGCTTCGCGACTCTCCCCCGCTGGAACCCGTCTAGGCACTATGAATTGGTCGCCTTTTTCAATCCCACTACCAGAGGACCGGGTTTCCCTGGCCTCTTTTTTGTAACCCTAAAATAATCAGTCGTTGTGGAAAATAGTTTTGTCCTCTTTTTTCATCGGCCGGCGCGCTTGAGCGGCTAGCTGGCTTCAAAGCCTGCGGCGCAAGCTTGAGCGGTTAGCTCGTTTCGGAAACCTGCGGCGCAAGCTTGAGCGGCTAGCTGGCTTCAAAGCCTGCGGCGCAAGCTTGAGCGGTTAGCTTCGTTTCAAAGCATGCGGCGCTAGCTTGAGCGGTTAGCTTCGTTTCAAAGCCTGCGGCGCAAGCTTGAGCGGCTAGCTGGCTTCAAAGCCTGCGGCGCAAGCTTGAGCGGTTAGCTTCGTTTCAAAGCATGCGGCGCTAGCTTGAGCGGTTAGCTTCGTTTCAAAGCCTGCGGCGCTAGCTTGAGCGGCTAGCTGGCTCCAAAATGCGGCGCAAGCTTGAGCGGTTAGCTTCGTTTCAAAGCATGCGGCGCTAGCTTGAGCGGTTAGCTTCGTTTCAAAGCCTGCGGCGCAAGCTTGAGCGGCTAGCTGGCTTCAAAACCTGCGGCGCAAGCTTGAGCGGTTAGCTTCGTTTCAAAGCCTGCGGCGCTAGCTTGAGCGGTTAGCTTCGTGTCAAAGCCTGCAGCGCTAGCTTGAGCGGTTAGCTTGTTCCCGGTGCCTGCGGCGCTAGCTTGAGCGGTTAGCTTCTTCACGCCTGCGGCGCAAGCTTCTGAGCGGCTAGCTGGCTTCAAAACCTGCGGCGCAGCTTGAGCGGTTAGCTTGTTTCAAAAGCCTGCGGCGCTAGCTTGAGCGGTTAGCTTGTTTCAGCTTGCGGCGCAAGCTTGAGCGGCTTGCTGGCTTCAAAGCCCCGCGGCGCAAGCTTGAGCGGTTAGCTTGTTTCAAAAGCTGGCGGCGCTAGCTTGAGCGGTTAGCTTTGTGTCAAAGCCTGCAGCGCTAGCTTGAGCGGTTAGCTTCAGCCAAAAGCCCGCGGCGCTTGGGAAGCTTCCCCGGCTAACTTGGTTCTAAAGCCAAGCGGCGCAAAATTTAGCGGCCTTCTCCTTTTATAAGCCTGCGGCGTAAGCTTAAGGGGTCAAGCTGGGTTTATTAGCCTGTGGCGCAGTTTTGAGCAATCAACTGCATAATAACGCCTCGATACACTGAATTCCAGTCGAAAACCTACTTTCGAAGCAAAAAGCAAAAAGCAAAAGAACACCCATGGCCGGGGATTGAACCTCCGATGGGTAGATTGGCACGCCGAATCGCTAACCACTACACCATGTAATGCTTGGCAGCACGCGCCAAACACCCCTTTATGTCTCAAGGGGGCAGGGGAAGGAAAGGGATCAAGAGTCAGATCCAAAGAGACGACCAAACTCGCGAGTGCAACTGGCAAGAATGAGGAAATTTGTATTTTTTCACATTATGCAAATTAGCCCTCCCGCACCCCCAAAAATGAATAAAACCGGCTTTAGCTTTGTAAACTTGTATTTTATCGGGATTCTGAAAACGCCATCGGAAAGAGGAGGGTCGATTCCCCCGGGTGACGGAGAATTAGGGCATTTTATGCACGGGAAGGCCCTCAAATCGGGCCACGAAAGTGACATCCACACACACACACACAAAGATACGCTACCAAATTATATAAGGTAGGATATTTTTGAAGTTTGAAAATTCGAAAATCTGGCTTTTTGGGGAATTTGCCTACATTTTCGACCTACCAGTCGGGAAATGTTCGAAAATTTCCTATTAATATATAAAAAAATAGTGTCTGTGTGTGTGTATAGTTGCATGCAACTTCCGTAAGTATGTACCGCACCTACAGCCTCAGGGGAAGGTTTTTAAGATACGTATGATACGTCATTAGGTGCGTAATGGTCCCGAGATGGGTGCACACATATAAAATTGAAGAAAATCGGCTGTTTTGGCTATTGAAATTAAGTTTTTGTAAATATATCGAAAAACCTCTTTGTTAGGAGGCAATTAGCATTGACCGGAAGTGGCCGTGGCCTATAAAAATGGAGGGAGCGTCGGGTTTTCATTTTTGGTGAGCCGCATTCGGCAAGCCTTATGTAAAGTCAAACTTTCAGAAGTCCTAGACGGGTCCAGGGTTGAAAAGCCGCGAAGCGGTTTTTCAACCCTGGTTTCCTATTATTTAGCTTATAGAGCTATAGAGAAACAGATCGAAAAATTTACAACTAAAAAATTCACAGCGTCTAGTAACTTTGCTACCTCCTTTCTTCCCCAGCTCCAGCCTCCCATTTCTCCAAGGCTTTGGCGTGGCACAGTTCCGAAGGTGCACCGTTGGCTGCGCGTCAACAACCATGTGGATGCACTTATTGCCCGGGCACGTCGGCGTCGTCCCCTGAAATTAAATAGTCGTACTGCCGTTGCCACGTGTGTACCTCCGTGATGGAGGCGCAGGGCTTGGGGTCTGTGATGCCAGCGGTATAGTCGGTGAGCCTGAAATGGGATGGGTTTAGTGGTCAAACTTCTGACGGGCCAAAACGCGTCTCGGTTCTGGTTGGTTAGCGGGGGGGTTGATGTGTGTTTAAAAGCCGCGACGCGGCTTTCAACTTGGGTAAATGACTAAAACAACCTACACAGCGGCCTCTCCGGAGGATAGTCCCTCGGCGCACTGGTAGCAGTCGGCGGCCACGGTGTTGGTGTAGAATCCGAGCAGGCAGGTGAGCAGAAGAAGAACCGGAACACGTCCTGACATCTTGAAGGAATGATGGAGAGATATTTGAAGAAATGGGTGTCTGCTTTTATACATGGCTTTTCGGATGCAAATATGCAGCACTTTCCGGTGAAGCGCCTCCAAGATGGAAATTTTATATGCTGAAATCGTTGGGTGGCTTCAGACTTTCGAATTTGCATAAAAAATTCGACTTTTCCGTAATTCAGGGAGTTCGGAACCGACGCCCGCGTGCAGCTGGCAAGAATCTGGAAATTTCCTAGGGTTTACTAGGGAAGTACTCAAGCTGACCGTGGGATATCAACACGGGTGAAAGTGGATCCGATCGAATCGGACCCGGGGATTCCGAATCAGTAATCAACATCGTACCTTTATGCGCTAGGACCCGGGGAATGTTTAATTTCGCAACAACCTATTAATACGTCGTATTCAGTTGAAAAAGCTCTAACAAATAAGCTATAATCAGCATCATTTGCAAATAACTAATCCAAAAAAAGTTTTTGAATTTGAGGGCAGAAATAGGGTCTTGTCGAGATCATCGAAGCCATTTCCGCAAAATCACCGTAAGCTTTACGTATTATAACTTATTTGCAAGCCCTTTTCCGGCGGTCTGTCCGTCGCGTAAAGAATTATTTTCCAAAAATAGACCCAAAAATATCCGTATTTTAGGGGCAAAGCACCGAACACTCCTATCGATGCCAAACTGCCTGTTGTTCTTTCACTTCAAGTACTTATTCAAATGCGACATCTGAAGGGGAGACATGTCTGATGCGACGCCCACGATGGCGTTTCGCCGATTTTTATCACATCACAAATCATTTCAGAATAAAGCTGGCATATTGGCGACGAGGAAGGCAATGACGGGCAATATGGCGGATATGGACGACGAGTCGCTGGAAGCCGTGGCACCCTCAGCCTTCTGCGCGGCGCCCTTCTTCAGCTCGTCAACCGACAGCTTGTTGCAGCGATCACCCTCGCAGGCTTGGCCCCAGAGGACTAAAGCAAGCCAGTTTTGCAACTATCAGGTTGGAACGAAAGTTCTGTCGCCGAGATTTTGGAAGCCTGGCTAAAATCGTAGATAGTTCCATTCTGCACATGCGATATGTCATTTTGTAGCTCTCGGCTTGAATGGTTCCGGGAGGAGGGTCCTGGGCCCTCAAAATAAAAAACGGCCGAGATACAGGCCCAAGAAGATTTTTCAAAAATTACGAGAAAGTGTTTTTGCAAGTTATCTCTGTATAGAGCCATTTGCATGCCATACCTTTAACGCCAATCGATAGCTCTCAAGCAGTAGATATCAATAGATGTTGAGATCATCAAAATTGGACATCAGATGGCCGAGATATGGGCCTTTGAAATTTGGCCCATTGCTTAGAACTTTTCTCGATTTCCCATACATTTTTTCAAAATCCGCTCCGCTAGTCCAAAAAAAAGCGGTAATTTTTGGCACCTGTCCGTCAAATTTTTGGAAATGTATGGGATTTAGAGAAAAGTTCTAAGGAATGGCCCAAATTTCAAGGGGCCATATCTCGGCCATCCGATGTCCGATTTTGATGATCTCAACATTTATCACAATCTACTCTTCGAGAGCTATCGATTCGCGTTAAAGGTATCGCATGCCATGACTGTATGCAGAAATAACTTGCAAAAACGTTTTTGCGTAATTATGCAAAAAACTTCTTGGGCTTGTATCTCGGCTGTCCCTGATTTTGGTGGTCGAGGACCGTCCTCCCCAAACGGTTCAGGTCAAGAGCTACAAAATGATATATCGCATGTCCAGAATAAAGTTATCTACGAATTTAGCCAGCATCCCAAAATCTCGGCGACAGAACTTTCGTTCCAACCTGATACAAACTACTCTTACCTCCGCCTTGTGACTCTACTCCAGTCTCCGATTTCTGCTTCTCCAAGAGCTTTGGCGACACGCAGTTCCGGATGTGAACAGTGCCCAGATTTGCGACTTCAAAGTACGTATACGTGCATTTGTTGCCCGGGCACGTCAGAGTCGTCCCCTGAAATTCAGTAAGAGTAAGCGGTTAAAACGATCCAGATAAATACCTCTAGAATGTTCGCTCAGGCGGTGCTCTCCTTGGCGCCTTCGGCCAGTTCTTCCGGGCTGAACCATCTCCACAGCCAGGTCTACGGGACTACAGAATCCATATCAATTGATTATCACCATGCTTGAATGGCTCGTCTAATCCTACTATATATAAAAAAATAGTGTCTGTGTGTGTCTGTGTGTGTGCCACTTTGCATCCACTTCCGGATGTCTGTCCGGAGGATATCTCGAAAGGGAATGAATTTTAAGGTATGTGTGATACGTCATTAAGTGCGCAACGGTCTTGAGATCACTGCACACATATCAGATTTTACAAAATCAGCTGTTTTCGCTATTAAATTTAAGTTTTTGTAAAAATCTCTTTGTTAGGAATAATTAGCATAGACCGGAAGTGGGGAGTCGACTATATAAAGGGGCCGAAGAGGGTGTTTTTCATTTTTTTTGTCATCCCGATTTAGGGCAATTATGTAAAGTGAAGGATAAAGAGGGGGGTCAGACGGGGCCAGGGTTGAAAAGTCGCGAAGCGGCTTTTCAACCCTGGTCCCATAATATTTTTTACCAGCGCCCAAAACCCGCTTCGCGGGCCTTGGGCGCTGGAAGGCCTGCATGAGAAATTGACTTTCCGATAGCGGTCCTTCGGACCCCTCCCTTCATCCGACCACACCCGCGCGTGCAACTTGCAAGAATGAGGAAATTTGTATTTTTTTGGAATTATGCAAAGTAGCCTTCCCTGGCGCCGGACACACACACACACAAAGATACGCGACCAAATTATATAAGGTAGGACTTTTCATGGCTTTCGAATGGTGTAAAAATCGTCCCGATCCGAGCTTTCTCCAGACCGCTAGAGGGTTCTCCTTTTTTGTGACACCCTGTATCTCCGGAGATGCGGCTCCAAGATGGAAATTACGGTTTGCTGACATCACTATTTCCATAAAAACCAGCGCCCAAAACAAGCTTCGCGGGCCTTGGGCGCTGGAATGCGGTTTTTGCATGATAAATTTGACTTTCCGATCGCTCGGGTCCTTCGGACCCCTCCGCTCTGCCGACCACACGGGCGAGTGCAACTGCCAAGAATGAGGAAATTTGTATTTTTCTCATTATGCAAATTGGCCCTCGGGTACCCCAAAAATGAATAAAACCGGCCTTAACTTTGTAAACTGGTATTTTATTAAAATTCTGAGAGCGCCATCGGAAACAAAAGGGTCGATTCCCCCGGGTGAGGAAGAATTAGGGCAGTTTATGCACGGGAAGGCCCTCAAATCGCGCCTCGAAAGTGACATCCACACACACACACACACACACATACGCGCCAAAACTATATAAGGTAGGATATGCACTGTAATCAAAAATCCAGCCATGACTACGACCTATAAACACCGGTGCTGGTTTGTTAGCGGGGGGGTATTAGGGGTACTTAATCTCGCTATTTTAGGAATTTTAATTTTAGCACAACACCAAGGTTGAAAAGCCGCTTCGCGCCTTTTCAACCCTGTACCCTTCTAAATCCCATAATGTTCTTCACTTTGCATAATTCACCCGAACTGCGGTGAGAAACACTGACTTGAAAAGTGCTCCCTCTCTCCCATTAAATAGGCTGTCGCCACTTCCGGCATATGCTAATTACTTCATAGCAAAGAGGCCGCCCGATTTTTCAACAAAAACTTAATTTTAACGTCGAGTCTACTATATATCCTACTACCAGTGGAAAAAGACCGCTACGCGCCCCTTTGCACTGGACACCGTCCAGGAACCATGAATTTGAATGGCTTCATTTTGCCTGCGGCGCCAGAGCCAGCGTTGCGCTAATCTTTGAGCCTCCGGCGTTAGCTACTGCTTTTTCTTCCGAATTTAGCCTGCGCGCGCGAGAGCGTGTGTCAAGGAGCTTTTCTTTGTCCTGCGGCGCAAGATCCTGGGTAAAGAACCGATCCTTGGACTGCGGCGCTAGAGCCTGGGCCAAGGACCTTTTCTTTGGCCTGCGGCGCTAGAGCGAGAGCCAGTCCTGAATCGCGCACACGGTGATCCTAGCAATATGTTTTGTTGATGAACTACCAAAAAGCAAAAACCTAAATTTCTCGCGGATCCGAACCCGCGACCCTCAGCGCCGCAGCCCCGGTCCTGATCCACTACACCAAAGAGAAGATGGCAGCGGGCAGCGGGAAGTGCCTCTTGTCCAGGGTTGGTCACGAAAAGAGCGGGAGCTGGGAGCGGGAGCTGATTTGCGAGCCCCGCTCAAAGGGACGGGAGCTGAAACTTAGCTCCCGCTCAGCCCCGGCTCTTGAGCGGCTCTTGAAAGGGCGGAGCCGAACCCCGCTCAACTCAAACCGGATCCTGCAAACCAGATATCTATGCAAATAAGGCAATGCAAGGCCAAAAATACTCAATTTTTTTGGAATTTTGGGAGATTTGAATAAATAACTAATTTTCAGCATCCGGTGGGTGAGCGGGTTCGGCTCCGCTCTTTCAAAAGAGCCGGCTCAAGAGTTGGGGCGAGCGGGAGCTGAAAATTTTCAGCCCCGCTCGGCCCTGCTCCCGCTCAGCCCGGCTCAGAGCCGGCTCGCAGAATGACCAACCCTAATCCTCACCATTGAATACATGAGTGGTCAAAAATACAGGTCCAAATTCGCCATGTGAATTGAGTTATGACCCGGACACCACGCCCCGTGGCGCGATTGTAGGGAACTTTCAGGAAACCCCTTATAAAAACTTTATTTTAAGGAATTTGGCAAAATCCAAAAAATCTTATCGGGAGAATTGCTTTTAGCACTCATCCTCTAAAAATCAGAGCGCAACTCCTCTTCGCGGCTGTGAAAACCTCCGGACATACCTTTTTTCAGCGAAATGTTAAGGAATTTTCACTATTTTGCTTGTAAAATCGTTAAATGAAGAAATTTCTCTAAATAAAAAAATGCTTCACTGACAAATGTGTTTCTCCACCTCCATGCCAAAAGTCAGCAGTAAATTCGGCCTGACGGCCGAGCAATTGGTTGTACAGAAAACACACATACTTTTCTCGCTGGGGTCAACAGGTTGCGTTGAACTCGATCTGCATTTATAGCAGTAAAATTAAAGATGTGTAAAATTTTTTTATTTGCGACATCTGTCAATTTGGGGCCGTTTACCACACCAAAACATACAGATTCTATAGCGACTGTAGGGAGATTGTTGACCCGTGATTTTTCGATGACCCTACACCCAAAATACTGACGACACACACGGGAAAAAATGATCAGTCACTGTTTGCAGACAATTTAGGGAAAAATTTAAATAACGACGCGAATGTAACCTTTAAAAGTTAAAAGTTAAAAGTCAAGTTTTTCATCAAACATTTCATCAACCATCAAGAAAATTCAACCAATTTTTTCATCATCCGTGCCTGCCTGTTAAAGCCTGGAATGGCGTGATGTGGATAACGGTTACGATGAAAATTTATTAAGCTTATAAACCGGTGGAAATATCAACAGAATTATGCAACGGGATCAACGAGGGGGTTTTTGCACAGATCAAACAACAGTTTAATTGCGGACATGGATCATGCATACGCAGAATCCGCTCACGAAAAACAGAATAACGACGAAAAGGGCCAGAGCCAAGCCGGCGACGGTGTCTAGGGGGTTGGCTTTACCTTCCTGGCTTGCTGTTTCCTGGCTTGCAGCTTCATGGATGAAATGCTGTGCCTCGCATTCGTTGCCCGCGAGAACCTTCTCCGGTTCTCCATTCACCGCCATTAGCTAAAAATAAAATCTTTAACTGGTAAATGCATTAATTGGAATGGAAAAATTTGCAGAAAATAAAATCAAAGCGCTGAGCTATGAGAACCAGTCTTGTTTTTCACCTCGATTTTATAGGAAACGCGATTCCACTCCTGATCGACGAAATGCTCGATGAAGTTCGGGGTCGAGGTTCTGGAATCAGAATTCGAATTTGGTGGCTGCCAGTCATTACTTCGAAAAACATGCATAGCACGTACGCTAAATGATGCCTCTACCGGTTTCTTTATTTGATCGAGTTTTTTATACGGCGCACGACAAAATCGGCAAAGTTTTACTTTACCCCCAGATTTTTCGATGTTTTAGTGGATTTGTACGAACATTTTTTGATGTCACTTCAGATAGCATCAAAAAATACACCTGATCCTGAATCAGCTCGACTTGCGGAGCATTTTGACATATAAAAGACCGAAATCGGTTTAGTGACCGGATACGACAATTTAGCGCCCATTTCGATCAGAATTCGAATTTGGTCAGTTTTTTTCGTTTTTTTTTTGGAAGATGATCAAAGCTAACACACTCACTTGAGCATCATATGCTTTTCGCGATCAATCTCGGTGAAGCTTGGCGCCGCGAATAAAAAATGTCTTGGTGGCTCCGCCACGATGACGACGACCTCCAAAGGCCCCTTGGTCGAGACGCCAACCGTCCGATTTTCAGTGAGTTTCTAGACGTAATGTATATACTCTGTAAATACTGTCTCATAAAACCCTCATATGTCTCATAAAAAACCCCCTCGGAATTTTCCGATCGAGCTGAACATTTTCAGGAGTGGTGCGGAAGGCCAAACTCTATATAACTTGCTTACCTAAAAAACTTTGGGTGGCCGAATACGCGAGAAAACGCGATAAAACATCCATAAGCAAATAAGCCACCATTGGACCATCAGACCCATGGCGCAGGTCGATGGGGTTGGCGAAACGAATGGAAGAGCCATTGAACTTGTCCTTGGCAAAGCATAAACTCTGTTTTGTTTTTTATAACGTTAAATTGTTGAAAAACGCGATCGCATTACTAACAAAGCTTCGGCTTTTTGCCAATTCGGATGCAAATGAGCCTGAGCTTAGCCAAAAAATTTCAGTGTTTTTCGGTATTTTTGGGTTTTCTCGCGTCTCCTGCCACTTGGAACCTTCTAACCAAGCACGTTATATAATTTTTGGCCTTTTGCACCACTCCTAAAAATTAAAGCTCGATAAGGGTCCGAATGCCGAGGGTTTTTTTTGTGAGACACCCTGTAGAACCTGTATACCATGGATTTTTTGATATGCATGCTAAACAATTCAAAAAAAACCAGATCGGCATTTCAATTCGAAATGCTTGATGATATAAATAAATCAAAAGTTAATCAAAAGATATAAAAAATTTCAGGAACACAGTACTTCATTATTAGGCACTGATAGTCGACAAAACGCACCTTGATCGCCCACGCGCTAGGGGCCCACTCATCAAACTCGTGCAACGTTTGCCGATCCCGCCACACTCTGCTGCAATCATTTTTCATGAGTGTGTTGAAATTTTGTTTTGTCGAAATTATGTTGAAGCTTACTCCGTCTCTCACAGTCACAGAAGCTTATGTCGAAATCTTTTTATCGCAAATCATTCAGCCGAAATTTTATTTTGTCTAAAACCCATTTGTCGAACCCATTTTTTTATTTAAATCGGCAAATTACACTGCCATCGGCATCTGGTCGAAATTTGAAGGATTTGAAGCTTGAGGTGATTTTCCAAAAAAAAACGAGTTTTGACGCCTTACTTTCAAAATGAATTTCGGCATTATAATTTTCGATAGAATGAAATTCGGCTTCTTACTTTAGACAACATGAAATTCGGGATGATAATTTCTTTAAATAAACTTCATTATTCTAACAAAATTTCGACAAATGTGTTTCGACGGCAGATTTTCCAGAAAATTAATTAATTTCGACATGCAAAAATTTTTCGACAAAACGAAAGCTAACCTCTTGAAATTAAGTCATTTTTATTTTGAAATTTCCACTAGAAATCCGTAATTAATAATGAAACTTCGCATAATTTGGAGAAAAACCTAAAACTCACAAGAAAAGGTTGGCCCTTTCGTAGTCAACGATCGCGTAGTCGTTCCCGGCAACGATATACCATTTTCGCGGCGTTTTATTGGATTGCACGAGGTTGTAGGGCGCTACGGTAGCGACGATGAGAGCTAATATAAATGCTAAACGCATTTTTGGGGAGGGGAGGAGGTTCGTGACTAGTAGATTAGACGGGTATCCCGAACTTATATAGCAATTCTTATAGCCCCAGGCTTCAATTTGAATCACGGATCTGTCGCGGGTCGATGGTGGTCAAATTTCTCGGCTCGACGAGACGAAGAGACTTTTTGCATTAAAGGGGAGTAAGCAAGTCAAAATTTGAACGGAATGGAACTGAGAGAGAAACAAGACCAAGCCCATCCTCTACACAACAGATTGCCGATCTCGGACCTATTCGAAAAATTGCCGAATGCTGTATTGAAAAAGTGGTAAAGTTTTCTTAACGGGGGGGGGGGGAATAAAAATCATTTTTTAGTCAAGCATGACGTTAATTGGAGCGTCTGAAATTTTCCGACGAGATTAAATTTTAGCCCCAAATACGTTAATTTGCTGTTATTAATTAAAATTTGCCTTGATTTAATTGAAGTAAATATTTAATCTGTGTATAATATCTCTTATAGATTACTGATAGTTTACATTGATTAAATTTGCCGGATCAAACGGCGTTTTTAAAATGACAAGGTCATTTGCCGGAAGCGAAAAGTTGCTTTCACGCCCGTTAAGCAAACGGTAGCAAAAAGCTACTTAGCTTATAAGGAGTGTCCTTTTGGTGTCATCGGTAAAACGATTGAGACCCGCTCATTCGAGAATTGATTCGAAAAACAATCTGTTCATTTTCAGAATGAAGGTTTCCCGATCTTATAAAATTAAAACTGCCGGCGACGCCCATACATTGGTGCTTGGGAGCGATTGTTAAGGTTTCGCGCTTGGTTTTTAATTTATAAAATCAGGGACAGCCATTCCGCAAAATGAACAACACAGTCTTGTTCAGAATTCAATTCTCATCGAATGAGCTCGGGCTCTGAATCGTTTTGCCGATGACACCAAAAGGACACTCCTTGTTAGCTAGTTGTGTGCTTCAATATAAAAATCCTCGATTTCGCAATTCGCATAAAGATAGCCAGAAAAGTATCCTTACAGGGCGTGCTAGGATGCTTTACTTGAAAAATAGGGCATTTAAGATGAGGTAGGTGTTCCCCATTTTTTCCACTTCGCATGGATCGTATTGACCCGCGACGCGCAACGCGTGCGCCTCACGGACATAGTGCCGTGAGCCTAGTAGGCGCACTGAAAAGGTGTTTTGTTCCGTACTGCGTTACGCCTACGCGGCTTTATATTAGGGTTTTTTTGTCGCAGCGCGGGATAGCGAAACCCTTAGAAACATATGGCCGCGGGCTAGTCCGTTTATATGACGCATCCAATAAAAACTGATTCTATTTGCTGCAGTGACTACTTGAAAAAAAGGTCGGGGAGCACCTCATTTAAAATAACGAAAAGAGGTTGGCTAAAATGAGAATAATTTTTTCTAAAAATTGGTTGGCTAATTAAAAAAATGTCAAGATCTTCAAATTGTCAACGCTTTAGCATGCAAGGTTACGGTAGGTGCCTAAAGTCGGGCAAAACCGAACCCGCGACGCCCCCCAGGGGGCAGAGCCCCGCCGCCGGCGAGCCACCGTCCTGGGTTTTATGTAGAACGAGAGCGGAGTGTACCTTTAAAACCAAAAATTCAAGAAGCCAACGAATTTTCCGGTAATCTACACATTAACAGTGCCATTGATTGATTCCGTAAAATTTGGCCATCGATATCTTTGGTGTGTGAAACTCAACAAGGACGGTGATCTCAACTTCGACCGACGCAGATGCCGTATTCAAAAAACAGGCCCTGCGGCTAAATTGAGTAGAATATAAAGGCAAGTATTGTGTCGCCTTTCACTTCATTGGAATACTAATTTTTCCCCCAAGATGCGCATCATACTCTTGCTTGCCTTTTTTGTGGCCACGATATCTGCCTATCACCAAGTTCAAGTCAAGGGAAACAAATTTCGCTATTACCTAATCTCGGGGAACAAATACGTGGAGTTCGAGTTGGAGCGTGCCCGGCTTTTCTAGTAGGTGTTATTGCTTTTTGTGCTTTCTTATGGATATAATCAACGAATGGTAATTCTCAGTCGCGTTTGGATGGGCCGATCGACCTTCCACACTATGGAAAGCGGGTGGAGCCCTACAGTGGATAATATTCAGGTCAGTTCCCTTCACTTTCTTCCCGTTCTTTCATAATCGATGGATCACAGTGCGCCCCCAAAAACAGTCCCTTCTTAAATCACTCCTACGCCATAATTCATATTCCGAATTCGTAATTATTATGCAAGCCCCATTTCGCGCGAACCCTAAATCGATACCGGAAAGGCGTGGAACACCCCTGGGGTATTTTAGCTTTCGCCGCGGGGCGGTCGGCGCCCTGGTGTCGGGGCCCGCGCGCTGGGCTGTGGGTTGACCATCGGTTGGGGCCAAATTCATCTTTCTCGAGCCCTTTAAAAAGTTTTTAATGTATAGTTCTTTTAATCAAAAACATGTTAATATTTGAACGCACCACTCTATAACACACTTAAAAAACATTAAAAAACCGCATTTTTTGTAGTTAACGGCTACTTCGTTCTTTTACTTGAGAAACTTGGCGGAAATTTGCAACTAACATGCAACCGCAAACAACCGAAATTTTGTCGGAAAATGTCTTGTAAAATGTTGGGTTAGATGAAAACACGGTTATTAAAGCCATCGCAAAGTCGCCGTTTTAAGGGCTTTCGACGGTATAATTATCATTCCGATCCGACCATCCTCCCCCGAGTTAGAGAAGAGCTCATGGCCCACTAAAACCATGATGATGCCATGTCCAACCCTCTAGTCCTAGCATCTTTTCAGAAGCTCGTCCATAACGACACCGTCAAGGTTCCAAAAGACAACAATCTGGAGTTCGTCATTTGGAAAAAGGACACCGAGCGCTACTTTGTTTTCGACGCGCCTCGGTTCTACGAGGTTGACCGGGAGAAGTACCTGAACGTCAAGTACGTTGCTAATTCCGGTCCAATACTCATCACGGGCTACCCCAACCTACGTTTTCTATCAGGAGCGCAGCGATGAAATTCATCGAGCATGTCGTCGACGCTGAATACATCTCCATCAGCTATAACAGCGAGGTAGCCGTGTTTAACTATACTAATTGGTCGGGGGCGACTTGACCGGAGCTAGAGATGGTAGGCATATGGACGCCACGTTGGGATGACATATTAACTAGGATGCAGAGCGTAGAAGTAGGTTGCAAAGCGCAAAAAGAAAGAAATTTACGGTGTTTTTCTTTAGCTGGCACTTTACATTCTAATTAGCATGTTATCCCGACGTAGCGTCTACAGGGTGTCCGAATAAATAAACACCCCCCTCTAAGTCCACGCAGAAGTATCGCATCGGAAAGATGGTTAGAGATTGGAAGGCTCTTGAAACAACGACTTTGCATCGAATGCAACCCCAAAAACGTGCAAAATTTTAAAGGATGGTTTGTAAAATGGCGGGTTTCATAAAATATGGTTTTGAAAAGCTTCGCAAACTCGCCGTTTTAAGGGCTTTCGAATTGAGTAACTATTATTTGGGTTTTAATTCCGTTTCCGCATAACTTAGCTTTGGCAAAACCAGCTTAATTAACGAGCTTTGGCGCCACAGAGTTAGCTGTAGCTAAACGTTTCACCTAAACCATTGCCCCTCTCAAAAAAACGCTATTTTCGCAAAGGAAAGTTTTAAAGGTACACTAAAAGCATTTAAATAAATAAAAAATAAATAATAATAAAATCTCGTTGGTCTGTTTACCGGCCGGTAACCGTCCGCGGGATAGCAAACAGGGTTACGGTAGGCGCTCGCCGCGGAGCAAAACCGATCCCGGGCCACTCGCCTACGGCAAGCGGTCTGGACCACTAGGCCATGGGAGAGAACGCAGAGGGGAGGGGGGCGAGGGGCTATGAATGGTCGGACCAAGCCACGGCGAAGGGATAGAATTCACGACGGCGACGCATTTTTGAATGGGATTTTACTGTACCTTTAAGGACAGACTGCTTTACAGCTTAGTTTCAGGCTTACATACACCAAATCCCTCAAAAAGAATTTGCTTTAGAGAATAATGGAAACCGAAGCATCTCTGACCACGTGGTTGGGGTTGTATGCGGCTACGTATGCGTCGTTAATCGTTGGCCTGCTAATAGCCCACCTGAGGTCGCGAAATCCGGAATGTTGATGAATCTGGATACCCGCACAGGCGTTCTGACCATCTTTTTCCGAATTTCCTGATAGTTTTTTCTTGTTTTCCTTTATTTTTCGTAACGTACTGTAATCGGCGCAAATAAAACTCTGCAAGGAATAAATTTCTTCGCTCTCTCCTGCTCTCTTTCAGAAAGTTTAAATCGACACGGTCTCACAGATATAAAAAACCGAAAGCCCTGTTTGGTTCGGGGGGACAAGTGAGAATATCGGTTTTGGATGGAAGAGCCACGTCCAGCTGTCTTCCCACCGGTTCGGCCACCCAAACCATTCCGAGATCGATTTCTTTGACACACGGCTTTTCTTCCTGTCTTCGGAGATTTTGCCCAAATATACAGGGTGTCCCAAAAAAAAAGACACCGGCCGCATTTCTCTATTTCCGGTCCGATCAACTTGAAATTTTGCACAGAGGTAGCGAAGTCAATTTCCCATGAACACAGAAAGTTTCAGCCCCATCGGTCAGCGGATTTTAAAGTTATAACGAAAATACTTTTATTTTTTTTGTTTAATATGGGGACCTCTGCAATTTGCATCAAAAATGTGCGTTATTTTGTCATTTACGAGCTGCTTTTGCATAATTTTTGCCGAAAAAGGCCATTTGCAGTTTTGCGCTTCGTAAGAATGATTGCGCATGGGAAGTAAAAATGATCCACAAAACCGTCAGATATAAGAAACTAGTATTGTAACATACGTTCACCGGTTGTCTTAATTTATTTTTCGGCTTACGCATAGATTTAAAGCCTCGATTTGGATTTAGGCATTAATTTGGAGCTGGTCGAACGCTGCGTCGAGTCCAAGGTAGGCCCAACTGACCAAAACTTCAATAAAATGTGTTTGAGTGCTCAAAAACCTGTTGTTTTCACGGTATTTTGTTTGTCATGCGCAAACATTCTTACGAAGCGCAAAACTGCAAATGGCCTTTTTCGGCAAAAATTATGCAAAATCAACTCGTAAATAACAAAATTACGCACATTTTTTTATGCAAATTGCAGAGGGGCCCATATCAAATAAAATATAAAAAGTATTTTCGTTATAACTTTAAAATCCGCTGACCGATGGGGCTGAAACTTTCTGTGTTCATGGGAAATTGACTTCGCTACCTCTATGCAAAATTTCAAGTTGATCGGACCGGAAATAGAGAAATGGGGCCGGTGTCTTTTTTTTTTGGGACATCCTGTACAAGCATTTTGGGGATCGATCCATTCGTGATTCAGCTGGGATGGGCCGTGGTGGTGGTGGTGGCGAGCAGGCAGATCCGGCGACGAATTTCGTCTATGCCAAACCTGAGAGATATAGAGAAAATATTTCGATACAGCAATACCTAAGTAAGGAAAGTATATACAGTGGCGGACAAAAGTTTCCAACATTTCGTTTTTTGGCTCTATTTCGCCTGTCTGGTCTGGAAATGTTCCCGAAATAGCATTCATGCAGAATTCGGCATACTTTTGTACCTTAAACATGCGTAAGACCACAAATGCGTAAAATAAAAAAGCTTGATAAAATTCTCAAAAATGTCGATGACAAAAGTTTCCAACGTTTTTTCTTTCAAAGCTCCGGGGAAATGAATGGCGTTCTCTGGAGTGGTAATATTGATGCCAAATTGTTAACATAATTGTGTTCAATCATTCACGGTTGCAGATCAATTCCTACAGCTCTCGGGAATTTTTTTAGAAAAATTGATTTTAATATGGGAATTTCACGTTTTGGCTTCTAGCTCTCCAAATTCTAATTATTGTCTGGATATCGTTATACGGCCTGATAGGGCCAACATTTTGATATAGAAATGTTTGGGTGTTTTTGGGTTGCGAAAGAAGCTACATATGGATGAATGCTGCGCGGTGCAACTGCATCTTTTTGTTAGAGACGGCCCACCATTTACTGCGCACCACTGATGAGGCACGTCGACCGTCCGTATCCGTTTGGATAGGTGCATTCATGAAGCCCAGGTAATATCAAAATTTTGGTCTTTTCGCGCTCTATCGGTCCTTATATCGACTTAATTTAAGGTCCTTGAACGATTTGGCATTAATATTACCATTTTAGAGGCAGCCGAGTACCGAGGCCTTTAGAAAAATGTTGGAAACTTTTGTCATCGAAATTTTTGAAATTCTTATTAAACTTTTTTGTTTTGAGGATTTTTTTTGGATATTTTCGTTATTTTATTAGAAATGTTCTCTAAATCGGATCCATTGTAGTATCCAGTGTGCTTTGTTACCTGAAAGATGCCTAACTGTAAAGTGTTTTTACTCAGGCTGGCGTTTTAGGATGGGACCAAGCTTATTTTGCTCAGAATTTTTTGCTGATTCAGAATCCGTTTTCCAAATCTACTGCGGACTTCGCGTTCAAAAGTCATTTGGGGCCTAAATTAAGCTTAAAAACGGCATAAATTCGGATGCTGGCCCACTATTCCCTGCCTCGGCCCGGTTGTGCCCCTTATCTACCCTCCCGAAGCCGCCTTCCCAGTTGGCACCATGGCACATTGGTTAGCTGCTCGCTTGCCAAGTGGAGGGCGGCGGTTCAGACCCCGCCCTGCACAATTTCTTTGCTTTTGCACAAAACCTGTTTTTTTTGCATAAAATCGTGCTTTGACCTCTAAAACAGTTGCTGAGCCAGTTTTAACGTCGGAGATGACGACAACTTAAAAAATCGCAAAAAAATCCAGATTTAGTCAAATTTTTTAGTATAAATGTCGAATAACTTTTTAAATAAAGGTCGGCAGCAAATTTGGGAACCAGATTCGCAATCAGCGAAAAATTCTGCACAAGATAGGCTTGGTCCCATTCTAAAACGACAGCCTGAGTAAAAACACTTTACAGTTAGGCATCTTTCAGGTAACAAAGCACACTGGATACTACAATGGATCCGATTTAGAGAACATTTCTAATAAAATAACGAAAATATCCAAAAAATTTGTTTTGAGATACTCCACGGATTTATAAGGACTATGGCTCAAAGGTTGGGGCTTGGGGCGGGGGGGGTAAATTAGAGACTTACCTATTTAACTAATTTCTGGCCAGATGCTGGCCATTAATTTTCTCTAATAATTTCTGTTAGTCTGCTCTGAACCCAAAATGTTTTTCCAATTGCGACGAATCGCTTGCTTAGGTAATTTCGACGTTATGGGCAATCTGTGCAACCAGCTCTCGACGACCGAAATGGAGCAGCACTGAAGCCTGAGGCCGCCAAAGGCCGCTCGTCGACGGTCTTGTACCTCGTGCTCCCCGTTGTCACCTTCTTCGCCTCCAAAATCCTTGCCTTTTTCTGATTTGCCTTTGTGATGTAAATATCATAAATTTGGCGGGCGCGCTGGAAACGCTATTCCTTGTCGCATTTCATGGGCATGTGCTGCCCGAAATTGTCGGAAAATGACAAATCCGTCTAGTGGTGGAGGATTTGAACATATCGTACTATTTTTTCCCAAATTTCCTCAAATCGGGCCTCCAAGGCACACACAGACACTCAGAAAGAGAAGCGAAAATTTTAACAAGGTAGCTCTGTGCACCTCTGGCAATTAGCCATCCGATGCATGAGAAATTTGCATCAGCCAAACTGTTCGTCAAATCAACATTCCCAGAAGTAATTTCAATCCTGGAACCGGATTGAACCCGAGAATTGCATATGAACCCAGATATAAAAGGATTTCACCGGCGCCTGGACTTATTTCACCAACAACGATGGCTCGCGTTCCGGTTCTTCTTCTGCTCACCTGCCTGCTCGGCTTCTACCTGATCGACGTGGCCCGCGCCGACTGCTACCACTGCATCCAGGGCAGCGAACGGGCCCTCGCCCACTATGGCAGCGCGTGGGTTTTCGTTCTGCTGCCCTTTGCACTAGGAGTTTGGCGGTTTTGAGCTCGAAATGTTTAGCAAAAATGAAGAGGGCACTTTTTCCACCTAAAGAAATTTTTTGATTTACCAAAATTACGTTAAACCAGCGCTGACCCCCCGCTACGCGGGGGTTCAGCGCTGGCCTCCCCGCATTGCACAATTTGAATTTGGAATTTGAATGCAAAATTTGGCTGAATTCCCGGTCGGTCGGCGGGCGTACGGACATTAGAAATTTATATATAGTTGATTTGGGTATTTCATAGCTTTTTGTTATCAAAATTCGCAAAAACGGAGCCGAAGATGAACATTTTTTGGAAAATTACTCAAAATCGGCATGCTAATTGCGAAAACATAGCCAAAAATGAAGACCAGCGCTTCCCAAACCGCTTTGTTTAGACCGGAATTCGTATCGATCCTCAACGGCGTCGAGGCCTCCGTCGATTGCGAGAACGTTAAGGTGGATTATTCGGCTCAAAACTACATTAATGCCTTCATGCAGGATTCGACAAAGAAGTGCTCGGGTACCAACAAGTGCGTCCACATGCACATCGACGCGAAGACTCCGGAAGCGACCGTCGAGCAGTTGGAGGTGCGCACCTGCGCCACCGGGGTCTGGCTGGAGAAGTGGGCGCCCGGCTATGGATCAATTCCGGCACCGAAAGGTATGTGGGGTTTTGGCCAAAGAAGTTAAGGAAATACCCCTCCTGGCCCGAAAAAGTACAGCCTTTAGCGGCCAGCAGCTTCGATCGGGATGATTTTTAAACAATTTAAACCGAAAATTAAAATTAAAGAAATTAAAACCATTTAAAAATTTATTATTATATTCTGTATTATTTTTATATTGTTTTTATATCTAAAACTGGCTAGCGCAACGGACTGCGGAGCGGACCATCCCTGGTTCGACCCCCGTCCGGTGCGACCCTCTTTGCTCTTTCACCGATTTCATCTTCCTCCAGCCCGTTTAGTGCAGTTTACCCCCCAGCTGACGACCAACTACCGTGTCTGGTGTGTAAATTACAACAAAATACTCGCCAGAGAAGGCGAACATTTTGGTATATTAACCATTACCCCCGCTAAAAACCACCCTTGCTAACAGTCCAAACCTTTCACTCTTCCCCTCGCGAGCATAAGATCCCGGAACTCTTCGAATATGGAGTTTTTATGTGTCTCGTTCAGCTGATGCGACAATAACGGGCCACTCCTGCGAAGGCGATCTGTGCAACAAGATCCCGATGACCGAAATGAAGCAGCGCGCTGAAGAAGCGGCCAAGAAGCAATCGTCGACGGCCTCGTACCTCGTGCTCCCCGTCGTCACCTTCTTCGCCTCCAATATCCTTGCCTTCTTCTGATGTGCCTTTGTGATGTGAATAAATTTGGCCGGCGCGCCGGAAACGCTATTTCCTGATACATTGCGAGGGCGTGGAGCTGCGGAGATTGCAGCGAGTCCGTTTACCTCTAGCGGTCCGGAAGAAACTCGGATCGGGCCCATTTTTACACCGGCTTTGGTTTTTCAAAATCGTTGCATAATTCTTGAAATGCCTCATAACTTTGTTAGACAAGAGTTTGATGCTGTTTTTGATAAAAGAAAAGTGTATTTGAACTAGAAAAACTATCTATAAACTAAAAAAATTTTTAAATTTCGAAATTTTGGTCGAACAATAGATTTTTTTGGATTTTTAAAGTTTTTATGTTTAGGGGAATTCCCCTCTCCTTCCGATAATGTGAACGAACGTTTTTAAATAATCCGTCAAATCATTATTTAGCTGATTTCACGCTTGTCATAGCAACGCCGCGCAACGGTTTTTGACCGGTTCTGCATCTAAATTCTTATCAAGGAAATTGACAAAAACGTAGACGTCGAGCGCTACCTAACGTAGATAAATTTTCGTTTTCGTTTTTCGTTTCTTCCTCCGTTTTTTTCGTTTTTATCGATACCTAGGAAAAGCAAGATTTGCGGCGACCATAACGGTGATTTACACCCGATTATACGCTGCGGATCGCGATTTTGACCACGGCCGCCCCCGTAAGAAATTATCATTCATGGCTTGAACCAGGTATAAAACCACGGCCCTCATACCTCGGATATCTTCCCTTCAATTCTGCAAGATGTCAGCCCGCGTCCCGGCCCTTCTGCTGCTCACCTGCCTGCTAGGGTTCCACCTCGACACCGTTGCCGCCGACTGCTACCAGTGCGCCCAAGGACTGCAGCTTCTTCAGCAGGTCATGGCGCTGGCTGGCACTCCCGCTTTGTAAGTTATCCCCCCCGAGCCGGAGCTCACATTATTATACATTAATCCCCCATTACTTTGCTATTTTACATCATTTTGGTCTGTAATTAAAGCTCTTTGTATATTTTTGATGATCTATCGAATCGCGTAGCCAAAATCTCCAAAAATAGCCGAAAAGTTGAAAAAATTTCGGAACTTTTGGCTAAAAGTCTAGCGGTTTCCCTACTGGCTTCCCCATAGAGTACTCTAGTGCCGCAGACCTGCCGAGAGAACTGACGCATCTAAACACAATGTGCCAGGCCGCATGTCGTATGAAAAGCCATCCCTTCTTTCAGCCCGCCAGAATTCACCAACGGCGTCCAGGAGAGCACCGACTGCGCGACAACCTTAGAGGTTCACAGTTGGATGCCAGACAGGGATCGAATTTCAGGGGACGACGTCGACGTGTCCGGGCAACAAATGCATTCATGCGTACTTTGAAATTCAAAAGCTTGGTTCTACACACATCCGTACCTGCGCCACAGGAAAGCTCTTGGAGCAGTGGGAAAACAAAGTGGAGGGACTGAAAGGAGACAACTGGGGTAGGTGTTGGGTTTATCCATGCGAGCTATTTCAGCCGCTTCACGACTGAAATTAGCTGGCTTTCCAGCTACCCGGCAGATCTCGCGCCCCCCACAGCCTGACGTTATCCCCATCAATACCCCCACCTTCCTGATGGCTTCAGATACCCCCCTATAGCCGAAACTCCCTGTGGAAAAGGATGCGGTGCCCGCCGTATAAGAAGATCGGCCGATTACACCCACTTCGCGACTGTCATCGGCTCCCCTCGGGCTACCCTCCATGTTCTAAACCACCACATTACATCGCTACCTTCAATAATGCCCGCGATGATACCTCTAGCAAACCACCCTGCAAAACTCGATACCTGAACTACTTAGAAACTTCCCGATAGCTTTGAATACTTTGCATAGCCGAATCCCCCTGGAAAAACTACTTACTGTAAAGTGTTTTTACTCAAGTTGGAGTTTCGATTCGGGACCAAGTACATCTTGTGAAGAACTTTTCGCTGATTCCGAATCCGCTTTCCAAATTTGCTGCGGACTTTTATTTTGAAAGTTATACAGCAGTTATGGTAGTGTTTTTCACCAAAATCAAGGAACCGTGATCGTTTTCGATTATCCTGATCAATTTCCACTTCGAAATTGGCTAGAGATTTTTCATGAATTGAATTTGACTTCACACGCACGGGCACCTCAAGAAAATTATGATAGGTGATACCAATGACTTTTTCAGCTATCTGGATGCAAGCCTGCGAGGGTGATCGCTGCGACAAGCTGTCGGTTGACGAGCTGAAGAAGGCCGCCGTGGTGAAGGGCTAAGCCGCGCGTCGCGAATCAGCGAGCCGTATACTGAATTTATTCTTGCTGTGAATAAAAGACAAATGTTAAGGCTCTGAGAAAGTAAATCCCTGCAGGTGATTCCGATTTTCGAAATTCGGACATTTTTTGCAGTCCAGAACAGTCCAGCACCCAATTCTCTTGCTGAATTACGGCACTTTCCAGGCTGATCTTTGACCTCCGCGGATCTGTCGTAAACAACCCATCAATCAATTGGCTTGCAGCCAATGACGTGTGGCTCTTTTTTCGCAATCAGCTAACGGATATCATGGAGTGGCACCCGCGGCAAGTTTTGGCACCGCGTCCTAGGTGGGGGGCGACAATGGCTAGCCAATGCCAAACTCTTGACCTCCCGCGCAATTCTAAACTTTCGAGCGCATTGTCCTGGGCGGGAGTATTTCGAGAGTTCTGCCGGGAACTTGAACCAGATTACAGCCCCGATTACACAGATTTTGTGCTTTTCAAGGGGGCGAAAGCGGATGCGTTTACTGGTCTTTCTTTTACCGTCATGTTATCCTAAATCGACCTTTATATATAGCGTTCCACCTGTTTAAGCAAGTTTTTAATAGATATACTAGGTGTCCCAAAAACGGCCCTCTGTAATTTGGCCGCCTTTCATCCAAGCGGTCCCATACCTTTCAAAAGGGTGTTTTGGGCCCTTAAATCACCAAAATCTAGAGCTATAATCCGATCGCTACAGTAGTCCTCGAGTCATAGTCAATATTCAGATTTTTTTACGCTGTTCTTAACAGGTTTTTCGGGACGAAATTTCGGCTATCTTTTCGACTTTGCATCGATTTGCATCGACTTCCGGCTCGGCATTGCCCATTTCGCTTAACATCGATGGGGACTAGGGTAGTGGAAGTCGTTTAAACCGGCGATTCGTTGGCTAATTTTTGTTAGGAAGAATTTTTTAGTGGTGAGGAAGGCTTGCCGAAACATTTACATTTAACATGGATAGGTATGCTCACGAAAATCCTATCAAAAACGGAAGATAAAATTATCTTTGTTTTATCACGAAAACTACTTTAGCTGGCGGGCTACTACTCCGGATTGTCGTTATTTAGAGTACACTTCTGAACAAGTTTCGGGACCGATTAGATTTATGGCGACCAGCTGTCTTTTTTCATCTTTTAATTTAATTTATTTTTAACTTATCTTCGAAAGTATCTTTTAAGCTGAACACTCTACCATCCGAAGAAGCCAAAATGACATCCCGATCCTCCTTGCCGCTGCTGCTCACCTGCCTCTTTGGCTTGACCACCTACACAGTGGCCACCGAATGCTTCAGTTGCTTACAAGCCGATCCCGTTATGTTTGAGAAACTTCGACATGAAAAGTGAGTACCTATTTTACAAAGCGGCTTCCGAACCTCGAATCCCTAGTTTTTCGCTGGCGGAAACCAGTGGAAAACAAGGCCAAAGGGAAAATATACACGACTTATGCCAATTTTCAGATTGGGCAAAGATGTCGTGAGGATGGCACGCGGCGCCAATTTTTCCTCTCACTGCGGCACCGTCGACGTATGAAGCTTGGCAAAGGCATTTGGATGCCAATTGACGATTTCGAAAATCACCATTTCGTTTTGAAATTCATCATTTTGAAAAGCACGATTTGGAAAAGACACCATTTCGAAACTTCTTACATCAAACTAACAATTCGTTTCAAAAACTATGCCGTGAGTATAGGTAGTTAGTTAGTTTGGTTAATTTTCACGCTCGTTTTCGATATATTTCGGTATTTTTTGCGATATTTTGAAGAGGACATTCGATAGGGCATCCAAAAATGGTAATACCTAAAAGACTTCTAGCCAGAACAAGATTTAAAAGTCGCTTCCACCTGGAAACCTGGAGTCGAACGCTAGTTTTCGACATTTTTGGCATTTTTAAAGGATTTTTTAACGCCAATCGATAGTGCGTCAAAAAATAGACTAAGAGTTTTGATTTCAGCCCCGAATAATGAAAAATAAAAAATTTCCCGGAAAAGATTTTTGCACCGGCCAAACAGTACCGTCGAAACTTTGATCTTAGAAAATGGGTTTGTCTTTACTTTGAAATGCTAATCGCCAATTTGCGTATTTAGTCACCAACGGAAACGTGTGAGTCGCAGCAACAATGCGTCCACGCGCACATCACGGTCACCTACTACGCGAAGCCGTTCGACGTCGAGATCCGGAACTGCCAACCGGGGACCGAATCGAATCCTCGAGCGTTCTACGCTCGCAATCCCGGCTGTAAGTCCTGATGACCTGTAAAAACTTTAAGCGAGACTAAAAAAATCTCTTCTTGGCCGAAGTTTCCCCCAAATTGTCGAATCTATCTGAGGATTTTGAATCCGTTAGCGGAGGGGGGGAAGAAGCGTGGTTTAACGGGGACATCTAGCCAATGTCTTTCTAGGACAAAAATTAGAGTTTTATAGTAAATTCTTTAGTTTCAATAGTGGTTTTTGGTCTAGAAAATATCGTAAAAACCGTAGAAAATTTCAGAATTTTAATGTATTGACATTTTCAGCTAAAAAAAAAACTATTTTTCCGGCAATTTTATAACTTTTTCGATTAGCTTTCGATGCCACAATGAAATCCACAAAGCAATGTTCAGTTACCGCTTGGATCCAAGACTGTACGAATGATCTGTGCAACAAGTTGTCGACGGCCGACCTGAAGAAGGCCATCCGCAATGTCGGTGCTCCCTCAACTACCGTCCTTCGTCAACTGTTCGTCATCAGCCTTGGATTTCTTTCATTGCTCTGATCCTTTTTACGTTGTGAATAAAGGTGTTTAATGTCAAATAAGCCTCTCTTAAGACTTTGCCAGTGCTTCCTCAACGGCGCCAAAATATTGTCGGGTCTGTCTCAAAAATGTTTTTATGCTTTAGGGAGGCTAGATACTGTAATCAGGTAATTTGCTCGAAGGTTTTAGAAAACAAATATTTGTCGTAATTCATTCGTATCATCTCAGCCCTTATTGTGTAATACCTTCAAGATAAAACATTGAGGAAATATTGAAGAAGGCTGCTTAGGTTAGGCTACAGTAGGCACCAGGCCCTGGCAAGTTGCCAGTGTTACTTGAAATGAGCGGTATATGATGTGATATCTCTCTCCCTCCGTCTCTCTCTCTCTTTCTCTCTCTCTTTCTCTCACTCCCCTCTTCCTCCTCTCTTATGGCTAGCCTACGGTAAAACAGCACCCGAGGCAAGATACCGTGACCTGGCATGCGCGCCTGCCCTGATTCCATTCGCAACTTTCCCGCACATTTCATCAATTTTTCCCGCGTTTTTTTCAATTTCTTTTGCCTTTCCAAGTAACGATTCGACAACAGGTCTCTTTCAGCCTTGAGCATCAACTCGATCATCCCTCCCTGAGAACGACACCGAGATGCTCGCTCGATTCCCCGTGCTCCTGCTGCTCACCTGCCTCGCCGGCCTCTACCTCCATGGAGTAGCTGCCGTCTGTTTCAGCTGCTACCAAGCCGACCCGGCCCTAATGGACAAGCTGAGAAACGACACGTAAGGATCATACCAGAAGGCGTCCCAAAAAAGGATCCCTCTAGCGGTCCGCGATGCGCTGTCCGATTTTCAAAATTCTGGAATTTTTTGCTATATTTTAGGCAATTTTTGTGAAAAAGCTACACGTTTTTCTTAAAAACTCAATTTAATGGCTAAAGCGCCATTCAAGCTGTATTTCTCCAAAGGCCTCCTTTTTGCCTTCAAAAAAGCCATTTTTAGGCCGCCGCAAAACATAAAAATTTATAAATCGAAGTTTTGTAAGAAAACCTTCTGAGAAGCATCAGAAATTTGCAAAATATCAAGAATTTCAGAAAAATTTGAGACTTTTGAAAATCGGAAGGCACAGAGCTCTTCAGTTCGCCGAGAGCTTTCGTTACATACCTAAATCGTCAAAGTCGGAGACGACCAGGACTGCTAGAAGCGGGTCTTTTTTTGGAACACCCTGGATTCCGCGTTTCAAAGTTTCCCACCTATTTTACCACCTTAATTTTTTGTTTTTTTTTAGTTCCCGTTGGGCCCAAGATGTGGTGCGCATGACCGGCAACACAAACTTTAATCAGAACTGCGCCACGATTAAGGTTTGGTTTCACAAAAAACGTATTGCAATTTTTGTAGGTTTTTCCAATGGATTTCTGTGAGGATACGAAATGTATCCATGCCCACATCACTGTGACGGCCTATGGAAAGCCGTTCGATATCGATGTCCGGCAATGCGGCGAAGGGAAGGGACTCGAGTGGTATTACGTGAGATTCGATAACTGTAAGTATTCTCCATTTTAATGCATTTAAATTATAGATTTATAGCTCCAGCTTTAACGCCGGTTCTTTTTCATTATCGGGGGGGAGGGGGTTCGGTTCTGGACTGTTAGCGAAGGCGGGGGCTTTTTAGCGAGGGACCAAATTTTTCCCTGTGCTTCTCTACGACCCTATAAGAAAATATAAATAATTTTTATGGCATTTTACATAGTTTTTAGATATAGAAACAATATAAAAATAACAAGCATTTTGGAAATTTTTTCCTTTTGACTAAAAATGTGTGAAAAATGACACAAAAAAGCCCACATTTTCAAAATTTCAAAATTTTTAAAGGTTTTTGATAGTTTCCAGCATACAAAAACTACTGAAAACATCGTAAAAATATTTTATATAACATCAACAGGTATAGGGGAAAAACGAAGACTGTTTCCCCCCCCCCCGCTAGTCCGAAACCACTTTTTCTAAAAGTCCAGAAATTGTTCAGAAAATCGTTATAGAACTATTAATGTTTTTAAATTTGAATTTGACTATATTTTAAGACGGGGAAGCCGCCAAAAATCGTTGAAAAACTGTAAATTTTGGCCAAAATGAATCGATGTTCGTTGAAGAATCACTATTTTTGTATTTTTATCAAAAATTTCAAAGTTTTTTTTTGTATTCTTAATCAGCATTTGTAAAGATTCTACGTTTACGAGTAGCAAAACAGGTTAGAAACACGTT